TGAATGGAATGTGGAAGTGCAAATTTGGTGTCATTAATTAATCATGTAAATGTACAGGCTTTTTTTTTCACTTCAGTACTACACCCAGTGCACCTTTCTGATTATCTGTAGCTGTCATGGCCAAGATAATTAAACAATTTATAAAGGTTACAGTGCTTTACTTGATCAGGTCTCTTCAGGTCACAAAACTAAACCTTAACACTCATTACGAATGCAGAGATCTATAATGATTATGCAAATCGTAAATGCCCCCCCTTGACTCCTATTTTCCAAATGCTGCCCCTTTCTCCACTACAGCTGTGCATTTACTTTTAGTGAACGCAGCCCTCTATGTGGAAACAAACTGATCAGATGAGATGGTGCAGAGCAGAAACAAAAACATAACAATATGCTTATTGATATAAATGTCATAAACTAAATAACAATTGTTAAATGTTTAACAGTGATAAGGTGAGCACAGTAGGGCTGATTATGCTAGTGCTAGTTTAGCAGTCTAATAACTCAAAATACCACAGAACAGGTTCGATCCTGTCTTTGTCACTTTAACACCCGTCACTTTATTTACCCACTCAGATGTGAGTCTTTATTCTCTAAACTTGCCTCAGTGCAGCATCAGTGAGCTGTAATTGCTTGTGAGGTAATTGCTGAAACTGTTTTAGCCTTCTCGCTAAGGAAGCTAATGAACATAGTGAAGCATGCTTAGCTGACAGATCTACACACAAACACAAAAGGTTTGCTCCCACAGATTCAAGTCTTCATCCTTAAAACATGGGTCAGCAGAGTTTAAGTGAGCTATAATTACCTGTGCTGTGTGTACTATAGCATGCAGTAGAACACTTGCTACTAGGACAGCTTTACACCAAATTTGACAGTGTATTAGTTAGATGTCATAATTTTAATACCAAGATCATCTATCTATCTATTTTAGCTGGGTTTCAGCAATTTGTTTGGGGAATTGTCTCATCTTCCTACTTTTAAACCTCTGAACATTACCGACGGGCTTGTGCTCTTCATCCTCGAGGGACAGCGCTTGGGTGCAGGCCTGGAATTGTTGAAGTAAGCTGGACTTCCCCCAGTGACATTTATTCACCTTAGCTTTGTTAGCTCTTTGGGGAGCGTAGGGAGTAGTCATTTGGATGTAAATCCAGTTTTCGTAGTGTTTGCTACCAGAGGACTTCATAGCTTTGAATAGGCTAAACGCACATAAATTGCTGGCAATGGACCGAGGTAGTAAGATTTGGCTTGTGTGTTAAATAGCACATTGGTTACCTTGCATATGGAGGTGTACCTGTTTGTGGGCCAAGCTAGTACTTTAAAGGTTATTATGGCAGCGATTGATGTGCAAGAATTTTGCATTGGCGACTTTGACCAAAGTGATCTGTGGAAAAAGGCAGAGCTAGTTGCGGTGGCACAGCATCCAAATACAGCAGACAAAGAGGTAACTAATAAATAAATCAGAGATAGTAGAGTACAGAATGGAGAGGTTTACCTGACTGTGTTACGGAGCATAAAAAAAAGCTAAGGGAGCAAGAACAGCAAAAAGAAAGGGAACCTTATCAGGCACGGGTGGAACAAGAACAAATGTCAGTTCAGTTGGAGTTGGAGCAGGAGAAACTTAAAACTACAAATAGTCAGCAGCAGTGGAGGCACAACATGCATTTTGATTTCAATAGTAGTCTAAATCGAGGATGATGTGGGCTTGTTTTTGAATCGTTTGAGAAGATGGCTAAAGAACTGGAATGGTCAGAAGAAAAATGGTCCTGGCTCGTTCAAAGTGTCTTGGTGGGAAAAGATCAGGAGGCGTATGTTATACTAGATGGTAACCAGGTGTTAGGGGGTATAAACCAGCTAGAAAAGCAGTCTTGGCAGCATTTGAGCTGGTGTCAGAGGCTTATCGCCAGAGGTTTAGATCTCTTCACCATAAGCAGTGTGATACATGGATACTGCCTGGCAGCAAGAAGTGGCATTTGATAGGTGGCTAGCAGCCTGCGAAGTATATACTTACTGGGCCCAGATCAGGGTTGCCACCATTTGAGTCCACTACCCTGACAAGTTGTATCCATCTCGTACTGAGGTTTTGTGTCACTATTGTAAGAGGTCTGGCCACATAAAATCAGGTTGTCCAGTTCTTGCTAAAAAGGGAGAAAGCAAGGCCATCACAAGCCTGTGGGTGAAACAGTGGTCCAGTGCCAAATGTATATAAAGAATTTGTATCCTGTGGTACTGTTGCTAACTCCTCAGAACAGGAGGTGGTGCCAGTAACCATATCAGCATCAGATGGTGTTTCAGCTTTAGTAAAGGGTTTGAGGTGGAAACTCTTCCAACGTACAACATTTATTTGAAGTCTAACGTGGTAAATTGCCTGGTCACTGTTGAAGTGGTCCCGTCTCTGCCAGTAGAGGGTGTGACTTTTCTTTTAGGTAATGACTTGGCTGGGTTTCAAGTGTGTTTGACTCCCATTGTAAAACAGGTGCCTTTTTAGATACCAGAGACAGTAGCCTTAGAAGCAGAATATCCAGAGGTATTTTCTGCTTGTGTGGTCCATCCATCCATCCATCATCTAAACCGCTTATCCTTCTGGGTCGCGGTGGGGTGCTGGAGCCTATCCCAGCTGTCATCAGGCGGAAGGCAGGATACACCCTGGACAGGTCGCCAGTCCATCGCAGGGCAGACAAACCGACATATACATCCACACACACACACTCACTCACACCTAGACGCAATTTAGCATGTCCAATTGGCCTGACTGCATGTTTTTGGACTGTGGGAGGAAACCGGAGTACCCAGAGGAAACCCACGCAGACACGGGGAGAACATGCAAACTCCACACAGAAACGACCCTTGTCACCCGGCCGGGAATCGAACCTAGGCCCTTCCTGCTGTGAGGCGACAGCGATACCCACTGCGCCACCGTGCCGCCCACTGCTTGTGTGGTGACACGTTCAAAATTTTGGGCTACTGAGAGTGGGGTGCCTTTAAAACACTTTTAGGAAGACTCTGGCAGAAGTGGTAGATTCCCTTACTTTTTCACTGGAGGCACTAATAGCAGAACAGAGTCAGGATCCGTCTGTTGCACCATTAAGGGCTACTGCTAGTAGTTTTTGTGATAGCCAGATGGTAATATATAGGTGGTGCATTTTCTGGCATTTACATCATGCAACTTAATAGCCATTGTGATAGATGCAATCTATTTGCAATTCCCGATCATTTATCATTTCAAAATCCAGCAAAAGAGAAAAAAAAAAAAATAAAAAAAACATCACTCAAGTAGCTAAGAAATACTGACACAATCCATTAATGTATTATAGTTTTGCAGCCCCCTTCAACCATTGATAAATGACAGTACAAACACGAAACCCCAAAACATGTCATACATGCATATATATGTACACACACACACACACACACACACACACACACACACACACACACACACACGAGGTGAAATGGTTACCGGTTTCACGGTAAACCGCGGTAAAATTAATGACGGTTAGTAGTACCGTTTGAACTTTAAAGTATCGTTAAAACCGTGGTCGATTACCGCGGTGTGAAAACTCGGATATTTCAGCCTTCTAAGAAGACCAAGTCTGACGTTTGTTCATATTTTGGGTTTTATAAGGATGCAGAAGGAAAGTTAATTGAAGATGACCACCCTGTCTGCCGAACAGGCCGAAAGAAAATAGCGGTGAAAGGGGGCAACACATCAAACTTTACGAGTCATTTCGCGACCACCACCCGCTACTTTTTAGAGAATGCAAGGTTAACTTCAACGGAGAAGTCTGTGGGGACTTCGAAATAGAAGAAATGTCATGGTCTGTGTGGTTTAACCTATGCTTATGGTTCGTTAATCATATAAAATGAAGCTTTTAGTTCAGAGCAAAATGAGCTCTGAGTTAACAGTCACATGAGCTCTGGAACGAGACGCTGCAGAGGTTCAATCTGCACAGCTCCCCTTTCTCGTCTCGCTTGCAGTGTTTACTGTCTGAGAATAACACCGTCTCAAATCACTCAGTGTCCCCTACGTAGAGCGCTACTGTTCAAACAAACACGATCATCATTAACAAGCAGGTGAGTTTTAAATAGGGGATTTGTAACCTATTGTTAATGTTGATTATAGATGACTTAGTCGAACGTTTCTTGCACTCTTTGGGTGAAGGATTTGCTATTTCATGATCCACGAAGTGCACTACATAGGGAAGATGTGTGCTTTGAGACGGGACCTCGCGCAAGTAAACGCTGCGTGCTGCTTTTAGGAAATGCAGAGTTTCAGAGATTAAACTTCAGGAGTGTTTCTGCCGCAGCTCAGATGCATGTTAATTTTAAGTTATGTTTTAGTTCTAAAATGCTCAGCGCCACAACGGCACAATAATGCTGCAGTTGCAGTTCGGACAGAAATCCCCCGAGTGCAGCACTTCTTAGAAGTAGTAATTTTCCATTAAGACCCACCTCAGAGTTGGTGGAGATTTAATTCTCTATGCAGGGAAATCCCTAGTTATTGTAATTAATAATAATAATAATAATAATAATAATAATAATAAGAAGAAGAAGAAGAAGAAGAAAAAGAAGAAGAAGAACAGTAATAATAATAATAATAATAATAACAACAATAATAACAGTAATAATAATACATTTGCTATTCTTTTGTTTACAGAGTATTACAAGTATTGTAAGTAATACAAAAGTAATACTAAAAATGTACTGACCTTATTTTTTAATGTTTATGCAAACAAAAAGTGCATATTGCTGCCAATACTATTTGTGTTAACATAAAAGTTGGTGAAACGAGTTTCAGTTTGTGTATCAGTATTTATTTTTTTTATTTATTTTACTTTTCAAAACATTTGAACAATATCGCGATAATACCGATAATCGTGATAATTTTGGTCATGATAATCGTGATATGAAATTTTAATATCGTTTCATCTCTAACACACACACAGACACACACACACACACACACACACACACACAGACACACACACACACACAGACACACTTACTTGAAGTTGAGTCTCTCCCACTTCTTTTGTGCAATTATGTTGTCACATAGAAACTTGGTGGATGGTTGAAGCTTACTACAAGGCAATTATTTTCAGAAAACAGGCTTTAAAGTTTTTTGTTCCCTTCATAACTATACAAGGAAAATGCAACCTAATACATCTTGCTAAACAACAGCACGGTAAAATAGCTCACCTTTGAAGACACAACTGGGAGCAGTAGTAACAGATAAAAAAAAATCCAACGGGGATCAGTCTAATACACCATGCTGGGAGAGACACAAACAAACAGAATAAAGAAAGGTGGTTGAGATATAATTTACATCTCCTTTACAGTTTAATTTTCCTCATTTTAAATAAATCTATGAAAAATTTGTTTCATTTCTATAGATGAAAGCGTATAGGCTCTTGAAAAACCCAGGTTAAAATCAAACTCCCAATCAGGGACTCCTAAAACAACACTACAGTCACCTTACGTTTATTACAAGCATGGCAAACATACATCACCCATTTTTGTGGATGGTAGGGTTGTGTGATATAAAAAACTCAAAGCTGCAGTTTTGTCAGTGTAATCAACCATGTCAATACTGTAAATACGACGATTTGCATATTCATGGCAGATTCTTTTTTTTTTGTACCACCTTGTACTGTGTTTTCAGAGCACATAGAAAAAAGGAGTTTAAGTATTTATGTATTATACATACACTAATTTATACTTAATATACTCTTCTTAAATCATGTATTTTATGATATATACATACATACACACACAGACACACACAGCCAGTTTATTTAGTACACCTCCACCATTCTTTGTCCATTTGAACAGCTCCATTTACTGTATAGGTGCACTTTGTAGTTCTACAAGTACAGTCTCTGTTTCTCTGCATAATTTGTTAACCTCCTTTCACCCTGTTCTTCAATGGTCAGGACCCCCAGAGAACCACCAAAGAGTAGGTATTATTTTGGTGGTTGATCATTCTCTTAGTTTGTGGTGTTTTGTTTGTTTTGGTGTTACAAATAATATTTTTTTATTTATTCCCTTTTTTTTTGAAGTTTTGTGCAATAATTTTGGGTTATGTTGGTTTATTTATTATTGAGGGTGTATTGATTTTGTACCCTTCTGAGCACTAGGTTTTAATACTTAAACCGTGATAATTAAGGCTGGTTTTCATGCCTCTTATTTCACACTTAATGGTTATATTAAGAATATCGTGGACAGCTCTTTTTAATTTTTTTTATTGAAAGTTAATACATAAAGTGTAAATATTGCGGAACAGCTCTGTCTAACTCATTTGAGTATTCCAGTGTGGGGCCCCCTACCCAGTAAATAGGGGTGGCGTAGTCTGGGTATGCTGTGTGGGGTGTTGCCTAGAAATTCTTACCTTTGACACCCGCACCAGTCACATGTGGATTTGTTGAATATAATGATATGTACCGTAGGCGATGAAATCCCAAGTTCTTTGCTATTTTACGTTGAAAAACGTTGTTCTTAAATTGTTTCACTATTTGCCCGAGCAGTCTTTCACATGCTCACATGCTCTTTTTTTCCCCAACCATGTTACTGACTTGTTGCCAATTAACCACCAGGTGTTTATTTCAGAACTACACAACTTTACCAGTCTTTTGTTACTCCATCCCAACTTTTTTGAAACATGCTGCTGGCATCAAATTCAAACTGGGCATATTATTTTTCAAAAAACTGATGTGTTGTCTTTGTACTATTTTCAATTAAATATAGAATTTAAATGATTTGCACATCATTGCTTTCTGTTTTTTTTATGTGTTGCAAAGTGCCCCACCTTTTTTGGACATGAGGTTGTACTTGAGTTTATTTCCTTTAAAGTACTCCTACTTCAGTACTTATTTTGAATAATGTTACAGAGTAAAAATAAATGTTTTATCTCATAAACCAGTTAGAAGGAAGACTGGCCGAATTTAATAGCTTTAGTTCTGAAAGCCAATCAAAAGAGAGCCACGATTATATGAAGTACTGTAGTCACGCGCATGTCCTACATAGGCAAAGCAGATATAACCTCATGTTACAAACAAGCTCAACAGCACATCACTTACCAGAAGTGCTGTGCTGTAATATTCAGATCATCTTTTGGTCTGACTGTAGGAAAAAACATTAAAGTTGCCACATCTGGAGTGTAACTTAATTAAAATGCTTTAGCAAAGATACATTTACTCCCTGATTTCACCCTATCTATTCTGACCACTTACTGCTGCTTATTCTTTATGTAAATGTAAAAAAAAAAAACCTGAATGAAGTAATTACTATAATTACCTTTGGAATATAAATCAGTAAAATCAATCTTTAAATTGCTGTTGTTGATGTTAATGACATGTATATACAAGTATCACTGAATTTATACAGTTTGAAGACTGCGAATATGTTTACTGTATGTGGAAGATGACATCTATGAACTAATACAAGCTAAAACCCAAGGAGCTAATGGGCCATTGAACTGTAACTAAAACTAGAAAGGGAAAGTTTGTGAACGAACTTTAAGTTGGCTTGAGAAAGCCAGTTAATTACGTCAAAACGTTAAAATGGCTGAAGACTGCTGATAGTTGTTAAAATGTTGCCAAAATGTTGTTAAGCAGAAGCTGCAGTATCTGTGGTGGATGGTAATTCGTTGCTAGGTGCTACTGTGAATGAAGTTCCACCTCTGTGCCCCCTTAAATGTAGTGCCATGTTAATTCCAGTTCCACCTTAAATTCTGTGCCATCTGAAATAAAGTTCCACCTTAATTTTAGTGCTACCTTATAGAGGTTCGCCTTAAATTCTGTGCCACCTTAAATTCAGTGCTATTTTAATTGAAGTTCAACCTTAAGTTTAGTGATATGTTAGTAGCAGTTCTTAAATTGAATGCTATGTTAACTGAAATTCCACCTTAAATTCTGTTCCAACTTAAATTCAGTGATATGTTAATAGCAGTTCCACCTTAAATTTCACACTATGTTATTTGAAATTCCACCTTAAATTCTGTGCCATCTTAAATTTAGTGCTATGTTAACTGAATTTCCAACTAAAATTCTGTGCCATCTTAAATTTAGAGATATGTTAATACCGGTTCCACCTTAAACTTAATGCTATGTTAATCGAAATTCCCCCTTAAATTCTGTGCCATCTTGAATTTAGAGATGTTAATAGTAGTTCCACCTTAAATGTAATGCTATGTTAATTAAAGTTCCACCTTAAATTAATTGCTATTTTAATAGAAGTTCCACCTTCATTTTAATGCTAGGTTAATTGAAATTTCACCTTGGGGACCTGCCCTGAATGAGTACATGCATTTTGGTGACTCTCAGGCAAAGAAGTAATAGAGTTTGAGTACTGGCGAAAATTAACGGGACTATATGGGAGGAACGAGGGATGAGAAAATGACATATAGAGGAGTGCGGGTCAGTATGGCTGTGGATTAGAGCTTGGGGACGTGCCCTGAGTGAGTATATGCATTTTGGTGACTGTCGGGCAAAGAATTAATAGAGTTTGAGTGGTGGTAAAAATGAATAAGACTCTATGGGTGGAAGGAGGGATAAAAAAAAACAGAAAGAGGAGTGCAGGTCAGTATGGCGGTGGATTAGTTCTTGTGCTAGCTAAGTGCAATTCCACCTTAAAAAAATCATTATGTGTGCTGACACTTCTAAGCTTTAGGTTGGAAGTGGGTGAGACATTGGGTTCCGTGCTTGAGTTTGGATGGATGTGTGAGTTAACGGGCCATTGTGACATCATGTCTGGCATGCTGCCAACAGTCCGCTCAATATAAGTCTATGAGAGAGACGAAAGGTGGAATAAAAACGACAAACGGATGAGTGTGGGTCAAAACGAGAGTGAATTCATGCTTGGGGGCCTGCCCTGAGATAGTGTATCAAAAACGGTGACGATCGGGCAAGCAGAAGTACCTTAGATTGGCATGTAAATGTTCACCCCATTCATTCTCTATGGGAAAAAATTCCGCAAAATTCCCTTGCCACACGGAATCCGTGCATCCGATCAAAAAGCTGTATACAAGCACGCATCACACAATCCAGACAATCTGGAGCAAGGCGCAACCATAATAATATAAATCGGATAACAATATAGTAAAAGAAAAGAATAATATAAATCGGATAACAATATAGTTAAAGCAAGACGCAACCATAATAATAACTAGAAAAGTGCATTCCCTAAAGGAAATGCGGAACTGTTGCTCCACGGTTACTATGGAATTCTATAGGAGGAATGAGGGATGAAAAAAGTACTCATAGAGGAGTGTGGGTCAGTAAGGCAGTGGATTAGAGCTTGGAGACCTCATCTGAAAGAGTACATGGACTTTGGTGGCTGTTGAGAAAAAGACTGATTAGGGCTTTGTTGCGAAACAAAATAAATTGGACTCTATGGGAGGAACGAGATATGAAAAAACGACAAATAGAGGAGTGCGGGTCAGTATGGCTATGGATTAGAGCTTGGGGACGTGCCCTGAGTGACTACATGTAGTTTGTTTGTCATCAGGTAAAGAAGCAATAGAGTTTGAGTGGTGGTAAAATGAATGGGACTCAATGAGAGGAATGAGGGATGAAGAAATGACAGAAAGAGGAGTGTGGGTCAGTATGGCAGTGGATTAGTTCTTGTGCTAGCTAAGTGCAATTCCACCTTATAAGCAGTTCCACCTTAAAAAAATCATTATGTGTGCTGATACTGCTGAGCATTAGGCTGAGAGCATGTGAGACATTGGGCTCTGTGCGTGAGTTTGTATGGGTGTGTGAGTTAAAGGCCCATTGTGACATCATATCTGGCATGCTGCCAACAGTCCGCTCAATGTAAGTCTATGAGAGAAGCAAATGATGGAATAAAACGACAAATGGATGAGTGCGGGTCAGAACGACAGTGGATTCATGCTTGGGGGCCTGCCCTGAGATAGTGTATGAAAAACGTTGTCGATCGGGCAAGCAGAAGTACCTTAGATTGGCATGCAAATGTTCATCCCATTCATTCTCTATGGGAAAAAATTCCACAAAATTCCCTTGCTACACGGAATCCGTGCATCCGATCAAAAAGCTGTAAACAAGCTTGCATCACACAATCAGACCGGACAATCTGGAGTTGGAACAGTGTCGATATCTCGAAAACTGCGGGACGAGTTATGCGGCAAAGAAACAGCAGGAAAATAAGAATAAAAGAGAAGAAGAATGCACAACCATAATAAGAAGATTACGAAGAACAGTAACTTGGCTTTTTCAAGCCAACTTAATTACATTTGTAGCTGTGTAATCTACCCGT